CAAAGACATGTACATGTTAAATTAATTTGTGATTGTAATTATGCTCTGGATGTGAGAATTTATGGTTGTCAGTCTCTTTGTAGCCCTGTGGTGAGCTGGTGACGTGTCCAGGGCGTATCTGCAAACAAACTGGACTTTGAAGATCAAGTGTGCAAAGATTTCTCAGCACAACACCGCATATTATCAAGCTGACCAATATAATTCACTTCACCTCTCAGTAGTTTCAACGATGTGGCTGATGAGTGTAGCCTTATGCTACGGAGTCATTTTAAGAAAGGACTATTATTAATCCATGTGTTTATGAAATCAGCCATTTAAGCAAAGTCTGGACTTAACTACAGATTTGCAAGGCTAGATCAACAAAGAAAGAGAAGGTCCGACATTAAGATAACCTTTCTGAAAAATCAATTTTTTTAACATGCAAAAAGGGGGAGGATCCCCCACTTTATGGGCGAACACGCTTTTAAAAGTGTAGTCTCATGCACCTCTGTGTGCAGATTACCACAACCATGGCCTCACTGAGGAGTACTCTAAAGGACAAAGCACATAGCTTATAATACTTCATGCTTGTTTCTTTTAACTTCTATTTCAAGCTATTCAGCTGACAAGTAGGGGAGACTCAGAGCAACTGCAACTTTTTTTCTTTTTTTACAGTGTACATGTACACTCACTGACCATTTTGTTAGGTACACCTTGTTAATGCAAATATATATGTCAGCCAATCACATGGCAGGAACCCGGTTCATTTATGCGTGTAGACATGGTCAAGATGAACTGCTAAAGTACAAACTGACCATCAGAATCGGGAACAAAGGTGGCTGAAGTGACTGTGGCATGATTGTGCATGCCAGATGAACTGGTCTGAGCATTTCAGAACCTGCTGATCATCTACTTGGATCCCACACAAACATCTCAAAGTTGTCTAAAAAAGAAGAGCAGTAGTTCTCTTAGTGAGTATGGCGTGTTGATGTTAGAGGTCAGAATGGCTCATTCTAAAAAGATAATGAGACAAAAGTAACTCAAATAACCACAAGGGAGCATCAGTTAAATGCCACAGCCTACCCGAGTATCGATGCTGACCATGTCCATCCCGTCATGACCACAGTGCACCAATCTCCTGATTGCTGCTTCCAACAGGACATTGTCACAAAGCTCATATAATTTCAAACTGGTTTCTTGAACCAGTTTGAAATTCTTGACAATGAGAGATTTCTGTCATGTATGTGGGGCAACTGGGAGGGTCGGTGGATTGATTCTAGTCTGCATGTCGAGGCAAAATACTAAATCCTGAGTTACCCCAGGTGCATCCATCAGAGTGTGAGTGTGTTGTCAGTGTTGGACAAAGTGCTAAGGTACAGGAAGTGTACCTTAGCACTGTACCTTGGCTGTGTCCCAATTCAGGGTCTGCAG